AAATTTTCCGGTTACAAAATCTTTGGTAACGTGCAGAATATACCTGTAAAAAATAACGAAATGGCAAGTAACTCAAAGTCTGTAACTCCACATTTCACAATTTTCAAAATTTTCGGTTTATAGTTTTTGAAGCATTTAATTTTAAGAACTTTTTAAGCATGTATTGTATTCTACAAACAATTACGAATACTTTGATACCTTAGCAAGAGGTGTGCTTTCAGAATAAACCAACTTTTAAATATAAAATATTCTGCGATCTTGAGCGCAATTTTTATTCCAAAAACATCTTAATTGAAGGCACATTTGGAAAATACGTCGAAACGATCTAAATATTTTTATAACTCTAGTCCTTATAACGTTGCATATACCTGTAAAATGCTTCAAAAAAATTGTCTCTAGAAGTGTGTAAAAACCCTGGTTTAGTACTTTTAATTATGCTCCTTCTTGTAGTCAGAATATTTCGAGGGTGGTATCAAACCAAATTTTTTTCGACAAAGGTTCTGATAGTTGCTCTTACTTAATTGGAACCTTCTAAATTCAATGGCGCCCCCAGTTTTGTCCGATTGTCTCCACTTTTGGAGATAGCGGTACTTGAAACTTTGCTTAAATTTGAACTATTGTATAAGAAAAACTCCCTCAGTTTTGAAGATATTTTACTAAAATTTTGCACACGCTTGTATTTTAATATTTCCTTCACTATCTCATAAAATCATCGCAATCGGTGCACTATAAAATCTAGCTCCCATACAACTGATTGTCCAGAGACGTTGTTTTGCGTTATAACTCCTCCAATTAAGCAGGTAAAAACTTAGTATAGGTCCACTTTAACATATAGCACGCATACTATTTATTATTCAGATATGAAGTTAGAGTTATAGCGCAAAAACACATATCTGAGTAGTCAGTTGTATTGGAGTTATATGTTAAAGTGCACCCATTTCGATTATTTTAAGGAATAATTAAGGTAATATTAAAAAACGGTTATGCGCAAAATTTTAGTAAAATAACTTCAAAACAGAGGGAGTTATTTATAAAATAGTTAAAATTTTATCAAATTTTCAAGTACCGTTACCTCGTAAACCGGAGCCAATCTGGTAAAACGGGTGATGCCATGGAATTTAGAACGTCCCCATTAAGTGAGTTCAACTTTCAAAATCTTTGCTCAAAATTTACAACTTGAACAACGTAATTTGAACCCAGGTTATACTTTTGTTTTCTATTTCATGTTTATTCCTCGTCTAACTTTTGAAGCACTTGATGAAAATGAAGTACACTTATATTAATAGATTTATTAAGAGATTACGAATAAAATGATATATAAAACATAGGTGTGCGCACAAATTTAAAAATTATTATTTTTTTGGAGTGTGTACCTATTTTTTAGATTTGCCCATATACATACAAAATGGCAAAAATGAGCATGAGGTGCATTGTGTATTGTACATGTGTGGAAATTTGTTAATGGTGGTAAGGCAAATATTCAAGACCACGTTAAAAGCGCCAAACATTTTTCCAAGTTACGTCACTGTCAAGAGATATTGGTTCTTTTATGATTTAAAAAAATCAGAGCTTCAGCGTTTCATCATCATCAATCATTCAGCTCTACGGATTGTGCCACAAAACAACATTGCTTGTAATATCAGAAACAACTTCAAAATAATGCAAAGCCAGAACCAAAGAAACGGTATTTATAGGGAATAAGTGTCCTGGTCGATGGGTTCAGTATTATGCCAGCCTTAGTGTCGCGTCAGAAAATAATTTCAAAATAGGTAAAACTTTAGTTATGTACGCCCACTCATCCGCAGTCAGTGTACTTCTAGAACAACTCTCAACCGAAAACATATTTATCGATGATTTTTGCTCTAAGAGCCTTTCCAAAATGGTAAAGGAACTATTCCATCTATTTAGGTGGAAGATCTTGTATTAATTTATGTGTAGCTAAATGTAATAATTACTAATAGGATTTCAAATATCTGCTGGCTGATTCACTTCTATGAAAATGGCCCACTATTTTACATTTCTATAGCAATTCTAGAGATGCGAAACAACAACAAAATTTTAACTACTGTCGTGAAATGTAACTTCACGACAAATACAACACCTTGTGAATTGCCTAATTGTTCGGAAGCCGAGGCCGAAGATAAATATCAGCCCAATAAGCCGAATACCGAAGCTAGGCCGAACCTTCGGTCGGACACTAACATACATACATTTGTATTATGTATATGTATACGCTCAATCTATTAAGCCTGCATACACCATTAGTGCAAACAAAGCTCCCCACCCCCCTTAAAGCTTCTTCTTCTTCTTATTTGGCGCTATAACCGCCTAAGCGATTTTGACCGAGTTCAACAAAGCACGCCATTCATTTCTTTTCTGTGCCAACTGACGCCAATTGGAAATGCCAAGTGACACCAAGTCCTTCTCCACCTGGTATTTCCATCTCTGTGGGGGCCTCCCTCTTCCTTGCTCCCACCAGCGGGTTCCGAGTTGAATCCTTTCGGAGCTGGAGCGTCGGTGTCCATTCGAATGACATGGCCAAGCCAGGGGAGCCGCTGTATTTTAATTCGCTGCACTATGTCCATGTCGTTGTAAATCTCATACAGCTCATCGTTCCAGCGTCTGCGGTGCTCGCCGTCGCCAACGTGTAATTGCCCGTAAATCTTCCGCAAAATCTTTCTCTCGAATACTCCAATAGCCGCCTCATCGGATGTTGTCGTTGTCCATACTTCTGCGCCATACCAGCACGGTCATGATGAGTGACTTATAGAGTGAGGTTTTCGTACGTCGGGAGAGGACTTTACTCCTAAATTTCCTACTCAGTCCAAAGTAGCTGACTTTGGTCCCCGGTGCCTCCGAATCGACGATTTTTAGCAATAACTTAGCTCCAGCGCCACTAAAATTATCATTAGGTCTTTTACATACTGAAACTCTTCGGCATTTTTTCCCATACAAAAAAACTATTACGCATTCGTTATACGGAGAAAATTCGCAACATAATAATGACAAAATTCTCAAAAATCAACGGTAACTTATAGCCATTCAAAACTTGCACTTTGTAATACTGAAATTGAGTGAGTTACAAAACTGCATACTCAAAATTTGGTCCATTTGATGCACATTGAACTATATTTCTATAAAAAATTAACAAAAAAATATATTATGAAAAAGAAAAAAACACTGTATTCTGGGTGTATATATTTACCGATAGGTAAAAGTTTCAATATGTTTGGAAAGCACCACGCACCCTTTTCCAGTAGCACCAAAATCTCTATACTAATTTCCAGGACACTACCACAAACACTTCCAGAGATATACAGTATGAAAAATTCGATATGTATGGGTGATGCCACGATTCCTTAATATTACGAAAGTCTACAGGAGGTGTCCAAAATTTCAAAAAATCGGTACAGCCGTTCGCGAGATCACCTCTTATAAAAAGAAGGAGCTTCTCTTTATATAATTAGTGTAGGTAACACACCACCCTTTGCCTCTTTGCTAGAACTTCTAAAATATTGAAAAAGACGCGATTTTTTGACACTTTGACCTCGTTTTTCTTAAAATCTGGAGCTGATGGAAACTTTATGCTTACGGATTCGTAATCAGCACACAAAAATTCGGCAGAAATAGCGTTAGCATTTGCTGCATAAAATTTTTCCCCATTTTTGCTGGCCTGTGTAATAAGTTTTGTTAAACAGCCAATACCCGCAGGTTTGCGCCGCCGTCAAACACCTTTCGAACTGTAAACCAATGACTCGATTCTATTCTATGCATATTCTACGGGTATCGAATTTCAGGCAAATCGGACCATATCTAATCCACCTATCAGAAAAAATATCCTATATGTTACCCCGGCCAATAAGCAACCTACGTGCCAGATTTCAAGTAAATCGAACCATAAATAAGACTTTTTCGAATATATCGGTCCCTGGCCCACTTAACGGAAAAACTGGATCCTATAAGTTTATCTAGGCAAAAGGCTACCAACAAACGAAATGCATTTTTTTTTAGCATATCTCGACCCCTGCGCCACTTATCGGATAAATTAAAACTTTGTGCACTCCTTCTAAACACCTTTCCAAAAAAGCAGCACCCATTCGAATCGGTTATGAAACATAGGAGAAAATTGTTCCCAATTGATTCATGCTCCCAATGAATTTCACAATTATCTGAAATTTTCTAAGCTTTCGTCGAAAAAAGATCCAAATTTTTCGCGTTCTTCCGGATTTTTCCGAGTTTTCCCCTTAGAATAGACATATAAAAAAAATCACAAAATTTTTATCTTTACGCATTCATGTTTCTGGCATGCGGGGTTCGATATGTATTTGCCAATTTGTTTTACAAAAATTATTTAAAAAGCAGACGTATCGGTTGCTCAGCAAACCGGTTAATCTTTTCTGCAATTATTTCACATTGATTCTCTAAGACAAATTTTCGATGTATTCTTAAAATGCATAAACCTAAAGGTAAATTTTATAGGAAATTAAACTAACAATTTATTAAAACTAGTAGTAACCTCGAAAGACGGGTGAGTACTTAGCTCAAAATTTATTTAAAGAACTTCGTGAAAGACAAAAATTAATCTTGTATTGTCAGACACCTAATAACCCAGGATAATTTTAAAGTTCTTAAAATACATTACTCTACTCTAAGCTTCGTGCAGTGGGCCATGAGAAAACCGTCATCTTTAAGATATAGTCCAACCTTTCACAATATCTGGTTGTTGCGGCAGTAGCGGAGTAAAATAAAACGACGCGTGCTTAATGTTTGCTGGTTCATTTATTACTGAACTCATAGACACCTTAACTAAAATGACAAAGCTGAGAGAGTGGATGTGTATTGCGAATATACGTGAGAGGCGCGAACATACCGGCCTCCTTGGACTATTCATCCTTAAATGAGTAGTTCAATAATTTGTACATTATTAAATTACAAAATTGTGAAAAAGAAAAATAAAATAAAGTGTACAACTTATGTGATGCATAAAATATGAGTATATACTACTGAGACTTTTCATCATCTGATAAAATAGGTACAAGCTTTACGATGGGCCTAGTCAACAGGCCTTCGGCAGTTTTGATATCTACTACTCTTGTATAACCATCTTGTCCAGGATGGCATTTGACGACACGAGCTAGCTTCCAATTCGCAGGAGGAATACGTTCGTCCCTCACCACGACCAAGTCCCCTTCTCGTATGTTTTTCTTCGGACGCACCCATTTAGCTCTAGTTTGCAGTGTTGAAAGGTATTCTAGCTGCCAGCGACGCCAAAAATGGTTACGTACGGCGGATATAAGCTGCCATCGTTGATTTATATTACCCTTAAAATCGAGCATTGTAGGTTCGGGTAATGCTTTGAGGGGCTCGCCAATCAAAAAGTGACCAGGAGTCAATGTTTCCAGGTCAGACGAAGAACTCGAGAGCGGGCACAAAGGGCGTGAGTTGACGCAAGCCTCTACTTCGGTGATCAGGGTATAAAACTCTTCGTACGTCAACAAGGTCGATTTGAGAGCTCGCCGAAGGTGGAACTTTACACGCTTAACAGCAGACTCCCAAAAACCGCCCATATGAGGACCGCTTGGGGGATTAAACTGCCAATCTATGCTAGAGTTCGCAAAAAAATGCTGGAGGTTCGGATCGTTCATCGCCTGTTGAAATACTGTCCGTAGATCTTTCTCAGCACCCACAAAATTAGTTCCGTTGTCAGATACGTATGTACGGCAATAACCTCGACGTGAGGCAAATCTTTTAATAACACTGATGAAGGTCTCTGAGGATAAGTTACTCGCTAATTCCAGATGCATAGCGCCAGTCGCCATGCAAATAAAAACAGCTATATAGCCCTTGGTAGACTTTGACCCGCGTCCTTTGGAGAATTTTACGCTAAATGGGCCAGCCATATCTACGCCGGTGACAGAGAATGGTCGGCCTGCGTAGTTAACCCTAAAGCTTGGTAGGTCGGCCATCATCTGTTGCTGTCGAATAGCACCTTGACGTCGACACGTAGTACAATTATGAAAGATTTTTCGAACCAATCCTCGTGCGCCCATTACCCAAAACCGACGTTGTAGTACGGTCTGCATAAGTTGTGGTCCACCGTGCAAGAGGCTTTTGTGAAGGTCATTAATTATCATGATAACGATGCTGGACCTTGACGGTAAGACGATAGGAAACTTGATGTCTGGCGATACAGCGGAGCGACGAATCCTACTACCCGCCCTTAATATGTTGTTGTCGTCGAGGAATACGTTGAGCCGAATTAGTGAGCTGCGAAGCGAGATAGGTTTAGAGTGTTGGCAACACCAGATTTCTTCGTTGAATGCTTCCCTTTGCACCTGACGTATCCAGTATTCTTCGGCGGCACGTAACTCTGCGTATGTTAACGGACCTCCTTGCCTTTGCTTTTCTCGCAAATTGCGTATATATCGCAACCAATAAGCTGTAATGCGTTTCAAACGTAAAAACGACGAAAACCTAGCGAGCATATCTCGCGCTATGAAGCTAGCAGCGCCAATAGAAGCGGTGTGAGTCAGGGTTCGCTTTGGACGCAGTTCCAACTCTGTCGGTGGTATTGATGGTGAGTTAGGCCAGTATTTATCATCCTGCGACAACCAGGGAGGCCCATTCCACCATAATTTATGCTGGATAAATTGCGCAGGTTGCATACCTCTTGATGCGCAATCAGCTGGATTATCGGTTGTACACACATGGGACCAATCTTCCGATGCTATATTCGATTGTGCTGTTGCGACTCGGTTCGCTACAAATACAGACCAGCGGCTGGGGTGGCTTTGTAACCAGGCCAATGCGTTCATAGAATCCGTCCATCCATATATCTTGGATACCAGTCCAGCTAACGATTGTTGAACGTGATGTGCGAGTTTTGAGACCAGAACGGCGGCGCACAACTCGAGCTTAGCTATGGAAATAGAACGGAGAGGCGAGACCTTTGTTTTTGCACTTACCATAGCTACAGTTATTGAGCCGTCAGCATGTCGTGTCCGAGCGTATACTACACCAGCGTAAGCCTGCTCTGAAGCGTCTGCGAAGCAGTGCAGATCTGTCTTTGAACCTTCCATTCCGGTTCCAAGCCATCTTTGGATTTTGAGTCCAGAAAGTAATTTTAAATTCTCGCGATGATTCAGCCAGCAAGCGGCGATGTCTTCTGGTACTGCATCATCCCAGTCTAAGCCAAGTTGCCAGAGTCGTTGGAATAACGTTTTGGGGACCAAGGTGATTGGAGCCAGCTTCCCTGTAGGATCGAATAATCGACAGGAATCTGACAAAAGCGATCTTTTGGTGAGATTTTTCGGTGGGGACCCCAATTTGATGTCGAAGTATAAGTAGTCATCCGTGGAATTCCACATTAGTCCTAAAGCGCGTACTGTATCGTCGTCAGCAAGCAAATGAGATATATTGTGCTCTCTTGCATCGAGAGGAATATTGCGGATGACGAATGGCGAGTTTGATGCCCACTTCCGCAGTTCAAAGCAACCATTTCCAAGTATTCGGGATATTTCTTTGCGCAGACTATTGAGGCTTGTTTCGGATGAGCTACCGGTTAACAAGTCGTCCATATAAAAATCTCGGAGGATGACGGAAGATGCGAGGGGGTAGCATGTAGCGGCTTCTTTGGCTGTCTGCTGCAGCGCTTTGATTGCGAGATGAGAGCTAGAGGCAATACCATAAGTAACCCTTAATATACGAAAATCTTGTAAGGGCTCATGTTTGCTTCTGCGCCATATGACTCGTTGATAATCGACGTGTTCTTCAGCGACCATTACCTGACGATACATACCGCTGATGTCAGCGGTTAAGGCGTACTTGTGAATTTGAAAGCGGTTTAAAATAGAAACTAAGTCTTCCTGAAGTTGCGGCCCGATCATCAAATTATCATTAAGCGACAGGCCGTTTGTAGTTTTTTGCGAAGCGTTGAAAACGATACGCGTTTTCGTTGTGCAGCTCGACTCTTTGATAACGCTGTGATGTGGCATATAGTAATTTGATGAAGGCACGTTACTTACCGGCTCCATATGACCCTGATCCAACATATCTTGCAAGAATGCATGATATTGTTCTCGATGCTCGTTATTTAGCTCAAGCCTTCTTTCCATTCTTAACCAGCATTGTACCGCTATAGCCCGTGAGTCACCTAATTTAATATTTTCCCTAAATGGGAAATGCACGATAAAGCGCCCTTGCGTGTTTCGTCGGTGAGTTGTTTCGAATAGATTTTCACATCTTGTCTCTTCTGTCGTAAAGTAACGAGTCTCCGGTAATTCATCAAGTGTCCACGCCTTTATCACTGCCTTTGTTAAGTCGCTATCTGAATATAAGCAAGGAGATGTATTGTTCGATTTATCTAAGGTAGTTAGCTTGCCGAACAGCACCCAGCCAAAAACTGTCTTCTGCGCGATCGGAGTATTAGGCGGGCCCTTTATAACCTCTGTTTCCAATAGCGAATACATTTCATCAGACCCTATAATTAAGTCTATGCGAGCTGGCAGGTAATACTGCGGATCAGCTAATTTTAAGCCTTCAATGTGCGGCCATTTGGAAGAGTGTATTTTCGCCGCGGGCAAAGATTCTGTAAGCTTTGTCAACACGAGAGCAGATAGAGGGAATGTTTCGGTGCCCTCCATTGGCGTCAACAACAATGATGTTTCGCCCTTTACCTTACCCTTTGAGCATCCGATTCCGGACACAATGACTTCACTTCGCCTTTTAGCTAATTGTAATCTTTGAACACATGCTTCAGTTATAAATGAAGAGTGTGAGCCTGAATCAAAAAGCGCGCGCAAAACATGCTGCTTTCCGTTGATGTCACATGCTCGTAATTGGGCAGTAGCGAGAAGAACGGCTTGCCCAAAGGTCGCGTCAGAATGTGTGTCCGAAGCGGTTGCTTCTGGTGCGCTTAGTGCGGCAGTGGCAGAGTACGACGAATGCCTTGCAAGTAAGGTGATGTTTGCATTGTCACTATTTTTGGATGATTGTGAATTCGCAGTATCCATCGAAGTAGTGCCGGTTTCGGAATAATGAAGTAGCGTATGGTGGCGATGTCTGCATATTCTGCACGTTGATGCGCTTCGGCACTTGTCTCTTTTATGCATCTCGCTCAAACAGTTTGTACAAGCGTTTTTATTTCGGATTACGTCCTTTCGCGTGGTTACCGGGATTTCACGAAATTGAGGGCATTGATAAATTCTATGCTCACCAGAACAATACAAACACCGTTTGGAATCCGTCTGACCCCCTTGCGTGGCGTGATATGCATTGATTTTGTTTTTGGGTTTTGCTGCAGTCTGTTTCGTAAGCCCAGTATGCGTCAACGCTGCCTCTAGCGAGCGACATCGAGTTTCGAGAAATTCCTGCAAAATATTAAGATCTACCTCTTGTTGTTCTCCAAGTGAAAGTTCCCATTGTCGTCTTGTTTCGTTTGCTAGCCTATGCACAATTACGTGTATAAGCCATTCATCCCAATGTTGAACCGGCAGCGCCAAAGCTTTCAATGCACGAACATTTTGCATGATGGGGTCTAGTACACCTTTGATTGCAGTAGGAGTGTCGCTGTTTGCCTTTTGCACCGAAAAAATAGCACGGAAATGATGATCTTTAATAACACGCGGAATATTGTACCGTGTTGTTAATAAATTCCAGGCTTCGCTGAAATTTGCATCTTGAAGTTTGAAATTTGAGATTAGTTGCAGCGGCTCTTTAGACAAGCAGCAGCGTAAATAGTGCAATTTTTGACTTCCAGTCAGCGTTTCGTGTTTTAGTACGATGGCACTGAAACTGTCGAAAAATGTGAGCCATGTTGTCGGATCTCCTTCAAAATGAGGTAAATTAAATGCTGGAAGCTTGATGTTTGGAATGACAGATGTGCTGCGTGAAACTTCGCCTACAGTTGTTGTGTTAAGAGAAGATTGTGCTTCGAGCATTGCTTTGAAATTTGACATTGCGGATGCATACCATTGTTCGCCCTGTTCTCTTTCGTACTGTTCTGCTTCTATGGCGTTCGCTCCGCATGACTCTTCCACAATTTCTTGAGCAATATTAAACCGGCCCCATTGTTCACGTAAAAGCTCTATGTATACTTCCAGCTGCTGTTTGGAGTATTTTCCGCTTTCAGCTTTACTGAGTTCAAGAGAGCGTTTAATTGCATTTCGTGCTGAGTCTCTTTTGTTCACAGACATTTCAATTCACTTCAAAAACGGTATACCAAAGAAATGAATATGACCTTAAAATGACCGTTTCCCTGACGTGCTCTTTTGCCTTACTGGCTGTAGCTTTCAATGTAAGTAGTTTATTCACACACTTTCACGGCAGCGAATGCAGGTGCACTTCTAGTTTTATTGTTTTTGTAGTCTTTATTTAGTTAATTGCGTATTCACTTTAGTATTTGCGATTCAATTAGTTTTATGTTGTTAAGCGATTTTTTTATTTGCGTTAATAACCGAGATCCGGTCTGAAGGACCATCTGTTGCGGCAGTAGCGGAGTAAAATAAAACGACGCGTGCTTAATGTTTGCTGGTTCATTTATTACTGAACTCATAGACACCTTAACTAAAATGACAAAGCTGAGAGAGTGGATGTGTATTGCGAATATACGTGAGAGGCGCGAACACTGGTATTAGTCTTAATCTGAAACGCAATAATCATTGAAAGTTGGCGCTGTTTATGGTGAAAAGCATTTCGTCATTATACACGAATAAAGGCGCGCTAGTGTTTTGACGGCGAAAAAAGACGCATACAAAAATTTTACGAAAAAAGGTGCTTAAGAAAAACTTCGGCGAGGAAAGACGCCTAACCTAGTTGATTTATACTTGGCGAAGGACTGTCACTTCAGCACTATTCCACAAAAACTATTAACGGAATGTACATACTATTACAACCGCAAACATAGTTGACCGCGAAAATAAGTTTACGCGTCCTTCTTGGCCGTCAAATATTTTAACGCGTCTTTCTTCGCCGTCAACTATGTTAAGAGTCTTTCTTCTCTGAAGTTTTTTTATGCGCCTTTTTTCGCGGTCAACTTTTGAGCTCGAGCCTTTATACGTGTCTAGTCACGATTTAATATCACTAAAGCTTTCTTTACCCTAGAAGCCTAATCTATTTGGGAGTAACGTAAAGCCTTTACATACGCTGTAGAGGCTTATGTACTTAAAAGATAACCTGTGAGCTAAAATATACTTAGTCCTGCCTTATTTTTTTAAAGAATATTGAAGTTGTGAGTTTGACTAATAATAAAACATCATTTTATTAATAAAACCTATAACCGCATTTATTTAAAACAACAAAATAAAAAGTAAATTTTGTGTTACAATTAAAAAAGACCCATTCCGTATTCGCCTCGCAGACGTAGATTATACTTTTAGGGTTAACCCTTTCAGTACAAAAATTCAACCACTGGTTCTAAAAAATTTTAAATATGTATACCGGCTAGTTTTGAATCGTTCATTTAAAAAATCACATACAAAAATGTGTAAAGCTTTGAGGTTTACGGTCATTCTGGGTCCTCTTAATGGTCAGTGATATCCTAGGTGTTTAAAAAGAAAGGGATCTCAGCTATTTTTATTTTTTGCTTTCGTGAAATATATTTCAAAACTATGAATAATACCTCATAACTTTTCCGAATCTCAATACCACGGAAATATGGTTAATATTTTTCAATATACTATATTACTCACTATCGATTTTTGACAAACACGGTCAACTGCAACTGCAGCTTGCACTTTAGTTTGATATATAGCTCAATTCTGTGGCTGCTACAGATCGGCCTAACTAAGTCGTATGACCGAGCAATTATATATATAGATACTAAAGGCCTGAACTACAAAACATAGCGAGATGTAACACATCATGCAAGTGCGAATTTATATCATGTCGCTTATACATGTTTGAAAGTGATATATGAAGACATTTACTACGTTTATACGTAAGCTATTTGCAAATAAAAATAATTTGCAAATACCTAACTCACTGTTTATTCGATGGTGAAAAATTCTTTTTTAATATTGCCTGATTATAAAAAGGCAATAACATGACCATCGAAAAGGAAAATAAAGTTAAAAATGGCAACGTCTTGGTTATTAAAAGGCAATAAGATGACTCTTCAACAAACCGACATATGTGAGCAGTGGAACCACATTTCCCGCTCATTAAGTACCGCCGCCGAAGAAGTAGTCGGATTTCAGCGAGCCCGAAAGAACAACTGGTACGATGAGGAGTGTCAGGAAGCTGCAGAGAAAAAAGATGCCGCCTACAGGGCCACGCTGCGATCGGGCGCAACGCGCGCTATGTGGGACCNACGTGAGTGCGAAGAGCTTGAAATGCTGGCCGACAGGAGGAATGCCCGAAAATTTTACCGGAGAGTTAGGCGACTTACGGAAGGTTTCAAGACCGGGGCGTACTTCTGTAGGAACAATAATGGCGACCTAGTAACCGATTTACAGAGCGTACTTAAGTTATGGAGGGAACTCTTTTCCGCCCTACTAACTGGTAGCAGCACGGAAAGTTGATGACGGAGTCGATGTTCCACCGCCTGACTATGACGAGGTACGTATAGCAATAGCGCAGCTGAAAAACAACACAGCTGCTGGAGGTGACAGCCTGCCAGCTGAGCTATTCAAGTACCGCGGCGAGGAGTTGATA